GCCCGCTCCGGCAGGCGTGGGGCCGGAGGTCCGCCTGGGGCCCGGGAGGCGTCCTCCACGGCGTCCTCCGGGCACTGGGCTGCAGAAGGGCCTTCAGGGGTCACACAGGTGCGGGCCACACCCCGCCGCAAATGCCGAGCAGGCTAGCCGGGTATGGGCCTTGCGTCCTGGTCTTCCCTGGTCTTCCCGCTTCGCGGGCTCCCACCTTTCCTGGACACTTGGCTATAGAAAACGTCCCCTCCTCCTCCCAGCTCTGCCCGGAAGAGGCCGGTCCCGTGGCCTGCTGGGGACCCCGCAGAGACCCGCCCAGGCCTGAGCAGAGCGGCCTGCCAGGGCCCCAGCTGCGGGGTCTGGACTCCCCCAAACTTCACATTGCCGGGGAGGCAAGAGCGCACACCCACTACAGGGACGGCCCAGCCCAGGGTCTCGCTTTCCCACCGTTCCCCGGGCGGAGGGCGGGGCAGTCGGGGGCGGCTGGCCGGCTCGTTTCAGCACCAGCTCCCAGGACTGCAGTCTGTCCCCGGGCGCCGCAGAGGGGTGACGCTCCAGCCGGCCAGGCGGCCGGACGGGCTGCTCCGAGGCCGTCAGGATGAGGCGGGCCTCTGGCTGGAGTGGTCAGGAGACCCCGGAGCCAAGCCAGCCAGGCCAGGCCTCCCAGCCCAGGAGCCCACAGGGCCAGCGGGGCCCTGACCCGGGGGCCCATCGGGGACGGGCCCTCCACACCCAGCCTGGAGGAGGGTGCGGGACCCGACACAGGCACCCTGGACAGCGGCCCCTTCCCTGGAAAGCCAGGGGTGCCCGCAGGGGGATGTCGCTGATGCTCCTCTGCGAGGAGGCGCTTCAGGGCCAGCGGCTGGTCTGGCCAGCGGAGCAGCAGGGCCGGCCTGGGCCCCTCCCTGCACACCGCACTGGCCGCCGGGGTGCTCCTGGCCTGCTCTCCTCCACCGAGCCCTGCCTCCGCAGGCGCTCCAGCGGGAAGTGAGGTTCGGGGGCCTCCCCAGCCACCAGCCACCAGCCGCATCCGCAAGGCCCGTGTGCCAGGCGCAGCCCAGCGCTGCTCAGAACAGGCGGCCCGGCTGCCAGCCTGGCCGCCTGCAGGGAGGGGGCTCCCTGCCAGGCCCTGGGCCCCCCACCCCGCGGGGGTGCGGATGCGCCTCCCATAGAGGCGGCGGGGAGCTGGAGGAGGGTGCCGGTGGCAGGACGAGGCGCCACTCACCTGCTCGGCGCCGTAGACGGTGGCGAACTGCACGAAGTCCTCGGTGCGGACCAGGCCGTCCCCGTCGCCGTCCAGGGCTTCGAACACGGCCCGGAGGCGGGC